TGTCTGATGCTTGGTTGGTCTTCGTAAAATATTTTTTCTGGGAATGTGTACTATACTGCTTGCCATTTGCTTTTTAGAAAGTCGTTAATTTTCTCATTAAAATCAGTATACAGAATTTTCCCATTTAAGATGCTTTCACAAAAACTTGGTGTCTTGGAGAGATTGTTTAGGTTTGGTTAGATTTTATTTAATGGTGTGTCAACCCTGAGGAGACATTTTATACCAACTATGTAAATACATATCTAGATAATAAATGCGAATGCCACTGTGTCACACATTTTCAACTTTACTCCCAGAGGCTGTAAGCCCAACATGCCATACCGTTTTTGGAATCAGGCTGACTTCATGAGCAAATTAAAAACATTCTACTCAAAATCCTGAAATTTTGGATACCCCAGTTTTCATTATTGTGATTGTTTTTGGTGATTTTTTTTTTTGTGATTTTTTCAGACAAATTTTTTTGTACAATAATAATTTTTATAACTTATAAATAAATTCGGGAATAATTGAAATGAATTACGAAATCCAGCAAATGTCACCCATAAAATAAAAATAATTGTTTGTATGGAATGTAAGGGCCTACATACATCAAACTGTCTTCAAATTAAGGGCAGCTTTTAAGCTAGTATTATATATAGATGCCATATATATTTGTTTATTGTGCGACTTTTGAATACCTAATTTTGAAGCTAATTTTAAAGAGGTCATATCATACATGAAATATAAAATTAGCATATCTTAGCACAAGAAAGAACTGTATTAGAGGAGATATATTAACACCCACCCCAGATAGCAAATGGGCAGCCTTTCAGACATCACAGAGAAAAATGTAAGGTCCACACTTCAGATAAGGGGTTCTGATGAAGTATTGAAGTAATATATGAAACATACAGATACATCACAATTTATGTACAATCACCAAAGTTGAGCAACATTGAGCCTGGTCAGTATATAGATGGGTGACTGCTTAGGAATACCAGGTACTGTAAGCTTGAATGTGTGGGTGGTGTCATAGATAGTGGCTCAGAATTAGAAATCAGAGAGCTGAGTTTCAATTCTTGATGGGTTCATTATATTCACTTACATGTAAATACCCTATGGAGTGGTATCAATCCACTTCTACCCTTAGCTATGGGTTAATTAGTAAAACTTGTATCAGTAAATCATTATTATCTCAGAAAATATTCTTACAATGTAAAAATATTTTCTGGCTTCTACAAAAGGTTGAAAAACATTAAAAAAACAAAATCAACCACTGAATGTTGGTGTTAGTAATAGATGTTATTTTTATTTTAAAACAAAATTCATTGATAATTGAATTTAATATTCCCAATGATAACTCAGTATCTCATGATGAACAGTCAATACTGTTGACAAGTCTCTGAAGGTGACATAGTGAAATACAGGAACTATAGCCAGTAACTGGTCATTTCATTGGAAACATCAGAGTTGACATGTCAGAGAGCCATTTATCTTTTATTAAAAAAAAAAAAAATTGATTATCTTTGTGTTCACACAAATAACCCATTGTTTGCCTGAGAAACAGATTTGTTTGCTACAAACACAAAAACCCAGAAATTGACTGAACTTTGTCCTGGGTAAACAAACACTAAAAGGCTTGGAACCAAATTAAAGTTTACAAAACAAAGCAATATTATTTACAATTGGATGATTGTCCCCATCTTTATCACAAAACTTTAGCCATTGTGCCCTCTCACTTTCTTCAGGAGGTTGTCAATCTGGGTAACATGCACAACTCACAGCCATGTTTTTTTTTCTTGAGGAGGCCAGATAAGGATTAATTTTGCACAAAGCAAGGTGGGTCCTCAACTGACTGAGGATTTGTCATGATGATTTGAGGCAAGGTTTTACAAGTATGGTGCTCTTCCTGACAACCAACTGACAAGCGCAGTAATCCAAGTACATAGAGTGTTTTTATTGAGATACCACTTCCAGGAAGGTTTCCATTCAAGGCTGGAGGCCCCAACTTAGCCTTATATATATATATTTTTTTTTCCACATAATAATTCATTGAGAGTATCCTATTAAAAATAAGTAGACAAAACTTGCCTAAATTATTTAATGATACATGTCTTAATGAAAAGATACTGCCAAAATACACGCAATATATATCTTACTGTGTTGCACACAGTATCTTGCCTGGGGTGTTAAGGTTTCAAGGTCATAAACTAGAAGATGCTCCATGATTTGTAATTGCTTGCATAGGCAGTCGGGATCATCATCCATGACATATCCCTATTTCTGAAGATTGACTCTACAGTGGTTCGGAGGTGATTTAAGCAGGACCAGAAGTGGTGGGGAGATTTTGCTGTCGTGCTTCATCTTTTGGGTTGAGGAGTCGTGGAGGTGGTGCTGAGCTTGCCAATTGTGTCTGGAAATACAGAAGGTGAGGGCTGGCAGAGTTCATAGTGGTTGTTGCCGATTGTGCTGGACGGAGGGGTTAGCCGTTGCCGATTGTGCTGGAAGGAGGGGTTGGCCGTTGCCCAGTGTCCTGGTGTGGGTGTTTTATTAAATGAGAGAACTGAGATTATATCAGGGTGCAGGCATTTAAGTAAATATTTTTCAAGTACCTATGAACCCAGATGAGCGAAATAAAATAATTTTTTTCTCCTCTCTCTCTCCTCCCTCCAACCTCATACCTTTCACCCTCTCATTTCTAGTGTAGTTTTTTTTTTGGGTTTTTACATCCTTCCACTTGCTTGAGGAGACCTTACAGTTGAAGCCCTGGTTGTGAGGTTGGTTAGCATTTCAACCTTTTCTGAAATTATATATATATAGTCTTTAATGTTTTATTACCACAAATGGTGTTTTTGGCAGGTACCTATATTTGAAGTAGATGCACTGTTATTATTTTAAACAGTGTGTATTACATCTATTGTCCTTCACACTTGAGAAATCTTAATAAAGTGTGCTCTCTGGTAAGGTTCGAATCTGCATTCCCCCTTTATAGGAGAAACCATTGTTTGATCCTGACGAAGGGGAACCATAAAGGAAGAAGAGATAACTGACTGAGTTTAATAGTCAAAATTGGAAGCACTTGTAAGAATAACCTAGAGCCTCAAGAGACAGTTCCCTTGCCACGGGGAGATGTTTGTGAATACATTACAAAATTATCTACCGTATATATAGGTTGCACTATAATCTGGGGAGCTACACAGTCCTTTTTAAACATAAGAATTATCTGATATCTACCTTTATTTTAAAACTTAGAATTATTAACTCACTTTTGCAGTTAAAATACATTTCATCAATTTGTAAACAAAAGTAACTGTTGTACTGGTATTTTTATTATTTTTATATTGAGTCAACTCGACAAAACTCAAAATTCCAGAAGAAAATGTTATGGTCCATTTAGAAAAAGTGTTTATCTATTTATATATCAAGTTAGAGTTTTTCTTCTTCACTATCAAACATCATTATCATTTGTTTATCAGTTAATAGGTTTTCATCATTGTCCATTTCATAGTAGTTGTTCAACTCATCATTACTTGTGATATAACCATCTCCATCTTTGTTTGAAGCAACCATATCCTCATCCTCGGCCTTTTCCGTGCTTGAAGCAACCATATCCTCATCCTCGGCCTTTTCCGTGCTTGAAGCAACCATATCCTCATCCTCGGCCTTTTCCGTGCTTGAAGCAACCATATCCTCATCCTTTTTCCGTGTTTGAAGCAACCATATCCTCATCCTCGGCCTTTTCCGTGCTTGAAGCAACCATATCCTCATCCTCGGCCTTTTCCGTGCTTGAAGCAACTAAATCCTCATGTCATCTTCAGTTCCATTCATGGATACCAACTATATCACTGCACAATGCAAAATAGTGCAAACGTTTTGGGTACTAGATTCATGCACTTTGTTATTTGTAAATAACACTTAAGAATGCCTTTTAATGTTATTTGAAACAACCATTAAAGAAAATTATCTCAAAGAATCTATTTCATATTTTCCAATGTAATATATATTTTGCAGAATGAATCATGGGACTGTTTTTTCTTTGTCAATAAACATCTACACTTGGTTCCTTAACTTATACATGCATGTTCAGGGTTTCAGTCTCGTGTGAAAGGTGACTGATGGATCAATTAATATTTTTTAATTTTATTTATTTATTGTGATGGATATGTGAATCTAGCAGCATCAAGTAAGTTTAAAGCAGTGAGTCAGTATATTATGATAGATAAATTGTTTCTATACAGAGAAAAAAAACACAGCTTTAGTGTTTATGGGTATCATTTCTGATTTCTCTGCAATCTTGATGACAAGGTAATGTTGTTTTACATTTATGTCAAGTGGATAGGTCGCACTCCTAATATTTTGTGAAATTTTTGGTAAAAAGAGTGCGACCTATCTGTGAGTATATATGGCATGTTAATTAACTGCTACAGTATGAATATATCCAAATCTGTGTCATATGTATGAGAGAAAGTTCAAAATTATCGGTACTCTTGTTTAAAGTGAAAAGTGCAGATCATTTTCAAACTTACCCTCAACAAAAGAAGGGAAAAGAAGAAATATGATGGTGAAGAAAATTAAAAAGAAATTTAAGACAGAGATCAAAATATGTGGGAGTGGGAAGAGTCAAAGATGGATCAAGCTTCTGATTAATACTAAGGCCCTCCTCTATGTTTTGTCACTGGCCTGCCACAATGGAAAGAGAAAATGACAACACAGTGTAACTCTATCCAAAGATAAAGTGACACAGATTCAAGACAGTTTTCTGATTTGCCAATCAAACTGGCCAGAAATTGTTGAAGAATTCCAATGACAAAGCAGCAGGAAATGAGTCTAAATTAGAATTTCAAAGTCAGGGAGTAGGCATTATATTTAGGAAGATGACAGAGAATAAAAGGAATAGTCATGGTAATTGGATGAGGATGAGGAAGGTGAGCATAAATGGCACCATTTGCCATTCAAAGAATGACAGAGAAGAACGGTCATTGAAGGGAAGATGCAAGAAAGGAAGAAATGGTGGAACTTACCTTCCATACCACTGATACATTTCACACGATCACGAACTTCAACGTTATAATGCTCAAATGACATGAAGACACCTTTTGGTGAATATTTCTGCTTGGGAGGATAAACCTGAGAATAACTGTGTCGCCACTCAAAGCGCTCAAAGCCGTCTGAATGAGTGACAGATCCATAGACCTGAAAGGAGAGAATAGAAAGAGAGTTAGGAAATTGCAAAATTTAGGAATTCTTGCAGTATAATGTGTCAAAGAGTGAAAGTTAGTTTGGCACCCCAGTAAAATCAGGTATGATTATATCTCGAGAATTAATCCAAGAATCTGAGAATAGGCAGGCACTGAAAAGTACTTGCATCATTTCAATATTAAAATGTAAGTATAAATTTTTGAATGTTTAATGGACGATTCACCTTTGTTTTAGTCACTGTTCTGGTTGGTAAATGTCCAGCATCGGACAAATGTTTGCTGCTTGGATTTGGGTGAGGGAGGGAGAGTAAGAGAGAGAAGGAGAAAGGAGATATAGAAAGTGAGATAGGGAAGGAGGAGGAATGAGAAACAAAGCGAGTGGGATATAGCGAAAACCCAGAAAGTGAGAGGGAGAGACAGAGACAGAGAATGAGTAAAATAGAGAGAGAGAAGAGAGAGAATGTGTGAAAAAAGAAAGATAGGAGAGTAACCAAGAGATGAGACTAGTAAAATGGGATGGAGAGTGAGGAGATAGAAAGTGAACTGGACAGAGAGAGAGAAGAGACAAAAAGTGAGATTAACAGAGAGACAGAATGAGGGCAGGATAGTGAGAAGAGAGATAGTGAGAGAGAGCCAGAGAGAGAGAGAAAAGAGAGATAGTGAGCCAGAGAGAGAGAGAAAAGAGAGATAGTGAGCCAGAGAGAGAGAGAAAAGAGAGATAGTGAGCCAGAGAGAGAGAGAGAGAGAAAAGAGATAGTGAGCCAGAGAGAGAGAGAAAAGAGAGTGAGCCAGAGAGAGAGAGAAAAGAGAGTGAGCAAGAGAGAGAGAGAGAAAAGAGAGTGAGCAAGAGAGAGAGAGAGAGAAAAGAGAGTGAGCCAGAGAGAGAGAAGAGAGAAAAGAGAGTGAGCCAGAGAGAGAGAAGAGAGAAAAGAGAGTGAGCCAGAGAGAGAGAAGAGAGAAAAAGAGAGTGAGCCAGAGAGAGAGAAGAGAGAAAAGAGAGTGAGCCAGAGAGAAGAGAGATAGTGAGAGAGAGAGAGAGAAAAGAGAGATAGTGAGCCTGAGAGAGAGAGAGAGAAAAGAGAGATAGTGAGAGAGAGAGAGAGAGAAAAGAGAGATAGTGAGCCTGAGAGAGAGAGAGAGAAAAGAGAGATAGTGAGCCTGAGAGAGAGAGAGAAAAAGAGATAGTGAGCCTGAGAGAGAGAGAGAGAGAAAGAGAGATAGGTGAGCCTGAGAGAGAGAGAGAAAAGAGAGATAGTGAGCCTGAGAGAGAGAGAGAGAAAAGAGAGATAGTGAGCCTGAGAGAGAGAGAGAGAGAAAAGAGAGATAGTGAGCCTGAGAGAGAGAGAGAGAGAAAAGAGAGATAGTGAGCCTGAGAGAGAGAGAGAGAGAAAAGAGAGATAGTGAGCCTGAGAGAGAGAGAGAGAAAAGAGAGATAGTGAGCCAGAGAGAGAGAGAAAAGAGAGATTGTGAGCCAGAGAGAGTGAGAGAAAAGAGAGATAGTGAGCCCAAGAGAGAGAGAAGAGAGATAGTGAGTCCAAGAGAGAGAGAAGAGAGATAGTGAGTCCAAGAGAGAGAGAAGAGAGATAGTGAGTCCAAGAGAGAGAGAAGAGAGATAGTGAGTCCAAGAGAGAGAGAAGAGAGATAGTGAGTCCAAGAGAGAGAGAAGAGAGATAGTGAGCTGCATAGAGAGAGAGAGAAGAGAGATAGTGAGCTGCAGAGAGAGAGAGAGAGAAGAGAGATAGTGAGCTGCATAGAGAGAGAGAGAAGAGAGATAGTGAGCTGCATAGAGAGAGAGAGAAGAGAGATAGTGAGCTGCAGAGAGTGAGAGAGAGAAGAGAGATAGTGAGCTGCATAGAGAGAGAGAGAAGAGAGATAGTGAGCTGCATAGAGAGAGAGAGAGAAGAGATATAGTGAGCTGCATAGAGAGAGAGAGAAGAGAGATAGTGAGTCCAAGAGAGAGAGAGAGAGAGAGAAGAGAGATAGTGAGTCCAAGAGAGAGAGAGAGAGAGAGAAGAGAGATAGTGAGTCCAAGAGAGAGAGAGAGAGAGAGAAGAGAGATAGTGAGTCCAAGAGAGAGAGAGAGAGAGAAGAGAGATAGAGTCCAAGAGAGAGAGAGAGAGAAGAGAGATAGTGAGTCCAAGAGAGAGAGAGAGAGAGGAGAGAGAGAGAGAGAAGAGAGATAGTGAGTCCAAGAGAGAGAGAGAGAGAAGAGAGATAGTGAGTCCAAGAGAGAGAGAGAGAAGAGAGATAGTGAGTCCAAGAGAGAGAGAGAGAAGAGAGATAGTGAGTCCAAGAGAGAGAGAGAGAAGAGAGATAGTGAGCCGGTGAGAGAAGAGAGAGAATGTGATCTGGATAGAGTGGTAGGACATAGAGAAAGTGAGCTGAATAGAGAGAGAATGAATGGGATAAATAGAGTGACAGATACGGTAAAGGTACAGTAGGGAGAGAGAAAATGAATGGGAAGAGAGCAGGGATATAGGTGTAAGAAAGATCAAGGAAGGCAAAGAGAGATAGTGGAGGAAGAGCAGGAGAGAGGAACAAAGAGGCAGATAAAAAGGGATAACTGTGAGATGCTAGACACACTTGAGAAAGGCTAGAGGCAAAACTATGGATATTACTACTAAGTTCAGAAATTTCAGTCAACATTTGGTATGCTAAAGAATACACCAAAAATAACTATCTGCAAGAAACATTATCAACCATTATTCATTTTTTACTAATATTTTTAATCTTAAAAATACTGGAACAAAAAATGCAATTATTTATGGTTAGAATGATATAAAACAGAGCAATCCAGATGCAGAAGGATGTGCACTTATTTTATAGAATATGTAAAACTATTCAACAAGTTATGATACAAGGATCTATTTGAATTGTTCGTAAAATTAATCCCTTCAGAAAGGATGTTAGAATAATCCAGAACTTATACTAGGATCAAACCACCTGCATATGGATAGAAAATGAATTGAGTAGGTACACAGAAAGAGAAAGGTGTCTTATGCATCTTCTCTCCAGATCTGTTCAACCTCTCCTGAGAGGCTATCCTAAGGGAGCTGGAGACACCTACCAGGATATATCAGAGGACACAATTTTAACAATATAAGATAGGGAGATGGCACTGTGTCGATGACTGACACAGAAAGAAAACTGCACGACCTTCTAGACAGGATAGTTAAGGAAAGCTAGAAGAAAGGACTAGCCATTAACTAGAAGACAGAAAGTATGGTTGTCAGCAAGAGAAAAAAAGCCCAAGATCTGGACCAAAAATTGAAAATGTCAACATCAAACAAGTACAGAAGTTTACATATCTGGGAAGTGTTTTTAACAGACTAAGGAAAATGTGACACACGTGTATTGGATTAGTGAAAACTTATTACTTAAGTATTGTCACTGGATACCACTATGGCTGATGGTAAATTTGCAGACTAAAAAAGTTAAACAAAGCATTTATCAACGGGCAAATTTCATTAGTAACAATGAAGAGAGTAACAAAGTGAGCAAGCAATGAAAAAATCTTAAAGATAATGGTAGCAAAAAGAGAATTTATACTCAGAATCAGAAAGAGGGAAATGAAATTTCTTAAACATATGAGGAAGGAGGGCTTGGAAAACTTAACTCACACAGGGAATACTAAGGGCAGGAGAGACAGAAAAAGGCAACAGGCCATTTAACTTATAACTTTGTGCAAATGGATGCTGAAACAGGGACCAAGAGGCTTGACAAAGAGAGACATGCTGCTAAAGGCATAGGACATAGGAGGTTGTAGAGGGCCATGATTTCCCACGCCTTAAATGCACACAGAAGAAGTCATATTTGAATTTTTATTAAAAATGGAGCATTGTCAATTAGTAAATAATTTTGACTGGTATTTCTTAATATCGGTTGAAAATGTTATATCTGATAGAAAATAACAACAATGTTATGATGACGAATTCTACATATAAACCAAATATTGCATATTGATCAGGGTGAGTGCAGGGAAAGTATGGCAATAAAATTAGATCTGATCTTGTTTTTTAAATCAACTAACATCAAGAAAGGCAATAATGCCACTAAGATGTAAGGTGTTAATGGGCATGAAAAGAATTAAAAAACTTTAGAAGGAACCAGAAGCAAGGGATAAACCTTTACTCCTGTTCAAAAGACTGGGGAGGAGTGTGAACTGGACAAAAGATGAACCAATCTCTGGGCCTTTTTCTCTTGTGAGCAACCATACTTTGTTTTTTTTACAGTTGATGGCTAATCCTTTTTTGTCATTGAAGTAGACTTTAGATATAAGTAGAAACCAGGCATAAACCTCTACTTCTGTTCAAAAGAGTGGGGAGGGGTGTGAACCATGCAATGGATGAACCTACCTGAACCTATTGAGGAAAAAAAGAGAAAATAAAATTTCAGAATTTAGGTGGAGACATTAGACATATAGAATTGAAGTAGATTTTAGAAGCAACTGGAAAACCAATCCTAAACCAGGAATACACTTTTACTCCTGTTCAAAAGGACTGAGGAGTATGAAGCAGAAAATAGGTGAACCTCTCTACTCCTACTGAGGAATAAATAGTAAATAAAATCTTAGAGTTTAAGCAGAGATGCTAGAAGTATAGAGTTTAACTAGAATTTACAAATAACCAGAGATAAGTGATAAACCTCAACTCCTGTTCAAAAAACCAGGGAGAAGTGTGAACCGGGCAAAGGTGAGCCTATCTACTTCTATTGAGGAAAAATAAATAAAGTGTAAATAAAATAGTGAATGAATAAAATTTTGGGATTCAGGCACAGACTTTAGAAGTATAGAGTTGAATTAGATTTTAGAAGGAACTGGAAGACCAATCCTAAGCAAGGGATAACCCTTTACTCCTGTTCAAAAGACTAGATAGAAGTGTGAACCAGATGACAGGTGACTTCCAACCATGGTACACTCAAAGCTCAATCAGTAGAAGGATGAGAGTTTGAGCCTCACTGAGTGCACATTCTTTGTTTCTCATCTGTGTTGTTTACTGATATCTCTAAATCAGAGATATTGCCGCAAAAAGAAGCAACTGATCTTGAGATGAACAAAATAATAAGAGTTAATCCTGACTCTCCAATTCGTTGCCAGAAGTTCCATGATGAAGGCATGCCATTATTCCATCAATTATTCAGACTAATATCCTTATCTTTCTTGATTTTGGCATGATGTTTGTGCTGATGTATTTTCCTTATCGTATTCAGATGTCTCTTATGTCAACTAATCTTTCAATATTGTTCCTTTTTTTTTATTTTTTATTTTTTTGATGGGTGGAACAAATTTGTGCTGTCTGCTCAATGAGAACAATTTACAAATCCCATTTTCAGAGAGTCTTGTTGATGATATGCATTGTTTACATTGTAAGCGAGAATATTTGATTGATAAATTATTTCAGATTAGTGAGTTGGATAGTGTCCAATGTATAATGTCACTTATGTTTTTTTTTTCTTTTTAATATTAGCAATTTGATTAAAGAAGCCAAATTCACTAACAATATTGTGTGCCAAAGAAAAGAAAAAGCAAGTCTATGACTTTCTAAAAACTGTACTTCACACAGTGAACACAATCTTTGCTGGTCATTATGCAGGGATCACAGTATAGTATCTGTTCTCCTCATCTATAACCCCAATGATAATTTTTGCCATTTCCTTATAAGGAAATATTCTGCACTGATTGACCGAGTAGCTAGTACTACTTTCAGCTGAAATTTTTAAAATCTTTCTAAAAATGATTTTCCAGGAAAATACATTTCTTAAATCCAGTAACTGTTATTGCTCTTTCCAGTATTGTTAGGGGTTTCCTTCCTAACCTTTTGTTTAAAGTAGTGTGGAATGTCGACATCATGATTATGTCATAATTTTCATCATCTCTGTGTTTCAATGTCAAACTGTAATTTGTTGTGTTTATGTCACCATCTTTTCCTCACAACTTTTCTTTTTTTTTTCACAGAACTCCATTAACAATCCCTTTCTACATTGCTTGATCCTGTATTACCGCCTCCAGATTACCAATGTCCAATCCTGAGTCCCAAGCCATGGTGTCTGGGAAAGTCAACTTTTGTGAGAAGACACCTCCAGAAGGATGCCATAGAAGGATGAGACGACCTCTTCATCCACTTGGTGGCGGTGGCCAGCAAACTGCAATCACTTTTATTTGAGATTAAGATAGACTGGTCTCACTTCTCTGTAAATTGTGTTAAGCATTGCAAGGAATCTCCAACTGATGTTCTGGATTTTTCTAAGCAGATTACTGAAATTGATAATCAAGAATGAAGGTATGATCAGTGGTCAGGAATTAGGACGAGCATTACTGATAGAATAGGACTAATTATTACTATTATAATGATCTAATTTATTTATGTTTGTGTTTTTTACCATCTTCTTTTATGTGCCAAGTCATTTCAGGATGTAGATGATCATGGCTCTTCACAACTTCCTATCTATTTTGTTGCTCTAAGCAACTTTTTGTCTTTTTAGCATCAATCTTTGTTTTGCTATTCATTCACACAATCTCATTAAGTGCATTATTTGTTGCTTCCCTTGCCTTCAATATGTCCTGTGCGTTGCAGTTTTTTGGGTATGTAAGTACAAGTGAGCTAGCCTAAATGAGCTTTCTGATTGGTTAATCCTTCTATTAGTGAACTATAAAATGAGTCAGCTCATTTAGGCTAGCTCACTAGTACTTACATACCCAAAACCTGCAACATGGTAGCAGAGCGTAGTTTCGATCTATGGACCTCTGATATTGAACAGATTACAGACTTCACTGGATTCCATATTCAGAGACTACGGCAAACATGGTCAACACTGTGAGTGTTAAATTTTCTAGGCCCTCTTTCCTTATAATGCATTCCAGAAATTTCAATTGATAGATTCTAAGTATAAGTTTCCTTGTAGTTTCTGCTTCCACCAAAACTTGCACTAATTGGGTTTTTACTTCTCTTATGTACTATGGCCCTTCACAACTTGGATAATCATGGCTCTCCACAACTTCCTTTCTTTTGTTGCTCTAAGTAACTTCTGAACTCTTACCATTCACAAAGTGTCCCTGTTCTGCTATCCATTCATGCAAACTCATTAAGCTATTGGCCGTTTCCCTACTAATTCTCTTGTCTTCAATAAATCCTGTGAGTTTTAAATTCTCTAGGCCTTCTCTCCTCATTATGTACCCCAGAAATTTCATGTCTCTTTTTAATTGCAATTTTCCTTGTTGCTTACATGTTTGGTACATAGTCTTCTTAGTCTGCAATTTCCCATCAGCCATAATGACAATACTTAAATAATAATAATAATAATAGTTTGTTTTGTTTTATGGCATATCAACCTCAATGAGTTATTTAATGCCAGCAAAATTTTTATTGCAGGTTTTTTTTTTTTTTTTTTTTTAAATGTATTGCTGGCAATATTTTTTTCTTCAAAAATCTATTTCTGGTAATATAAAAATTTAAAAAAAAAAAAGAAAAAACTGTATTACCAGTAATATCCATTTTATTTTAAAAAATGTATTGCTGGTAATAATTTTTTACAAATTATTTCTGGTATTAAAACCTATTTTTACACTTTCATAGTGTTTTGACCCGAGTTTGGGGGTTAACTATTTGTCATAGCTGGAACACTAACAGGTGCTACCATCCCGGGTCAGA